CAGATGAAAGGTTTACGTGATCAGTGACCTAGTATGATAACAATCCAAGAAAGCGCAGTAGGTTCTCAGATCAAGAATAACTTCTAGAAGAAAGGTCTTAAAACCGATTTAACGGGTACGAATTTTAGAGGTCAGATCGGAAAATGACATTTTTTATTATTTTGTTGTTATCGAAACTAGGGACCTCTACAATCCTCCTATTCCAAGAGATGCATGGAAAAATCGTGCAAGGCAGAATAGCCAATTAAATGCCTAATTATTCATCTGCACGCGTGCCTCTAATATTTCATTAAGGTTATCAGGTCTGTTGATACCACAGCAGCCATAAACATCATTACGACACGCTGGCTCGCTCGGGAGGGGAAACGACGCCCCGTGGCGCATAACTCCTTGATTGTCGACGTAAATTGAATATCCTTCAAAAGCATTATTTCAGTCTAGAAAAACAAGTTTATGATATTCACTCCAAAGAACTCTTAACTCTGCCCCTGAACTTTTATGTTAGCGGCACTCCAAGCAAGAAAGCACGGAAACTCCATTTTTTTTTTTTTTTTTGGTAATGATCTCTTTTATACACTGTTATACATTGTTTTCCTGTCTGTGGTACTCGAAGTTAGCAGAGGTGCCGCAAAAATATAAAGAATTATTTCAAGTGGAAGAGCTTCGCCGTCAAAATCCTTGATTTGATATATATATTGTTTCTATGATGATATTACTTGCAAATTTCAAACGCTTTGTGAGTGCATGTTTTTCTTTTGTTGTATCAGCATAACCGTAAGCCTTTGACTCCTAGAAAGAAGAATTTGCAGGTTGCTTAAGATTAAGATATAACTGGACGACAAAGGTTTTTCCATTCCAGTCTCCTTTCCACACCGTGATACCCATATATTTGATGCAAAAATAGGGTAAAAAACACTGAACCTTCCATGATTTCCTGTGTGGCACTGCAAAAATATTTATCATATGTTTTTGTCCAAGGAAAAAACCGAATTAGTCGCCAGGTGGATATGATTTACTTCCTCCTAAAGGTGCAACATTTAGATATGATTTCCTACTTAACATGAGGAAGCCTTAAGAGACTAAGAGAACTGTTTTAAAAAGATTCATTTGCTATATTGGCCCGAAAGTGGCTTTCGCTGACGTTGTGGCAAGATACAAAACGGCTCTTCTCTCGCTTCTTCGCCACTCTTGACCCACCGCTAATAAGAATCTGTCGCTGACAATTTGTTGTAGACATCCAATAGCCGTTTTAGACTCCAGAATATTGCAAATTTACCATTGCGCCCATCATTAAATATTCAGTCTCTCTAAGATCCAAGCGGGGCTCCCAGTGCTAAATGCTTTCTAATTAAACCTCGGCGTCTGCTCATTTTCGATATCGGTCAATAAAACCGCAGTCCATAATGGTGGCATTGATTACCAATTCATCGGAAGAAAAATACTTGATGAATTCTCCAAAAAGACGCCAAAATTCAAATCGATATATTTTATATTTTATATTCAAAAATTTATATTTTATATTTTATATTCAAAAATAAAGGCTTTCTTCACATCGGACGAATTCTATTTGACAGGGGTTATTTTTAAAATGCACACCCAACCCTACAAACATCTGTAATTAAAAACTAAAATGATCTCGACAGCTGTGCTAGCTTGCCTTGTTATCTGAGCACAATGTGGTTTGCAAAAACTGAAGACTGTTGGGATGAGTGAGACGTCATCTTCGATTCCGACCCACTCTGGTTGACCTTGCTTATAGAAAGACACGATTTTGGGGCGCTGGTGAGAATTTCACTTTCCGTTGACGATTTGGATACCGCTATATTGGTAAACGGCGAACTGGCAGTCAAAATGAAAAGTACAAAGATGTTCCATTATTTATATCCTGAAAAATATAATATGAGTTTTTTTATTACAATTTCTGTATTATTTTCTTTTGCACAAAAAGAGTACAATATCCTTCCTCCTATTTTAACGTCCATACAATATCGTTTCTTGTCAAGGATCAGGACGGGTGTCGCTTAAAATATTTATGCTATTTTCCAGCTGGGTAAAAAACTGCCATTTTCCAGCTGTGTAAAAAAATTGAGTCTGCTTCTATGGTATGATTCGTCCTCATCATTTTGGATCGTTTGTCTTCTGTTCTTGATTTTGTCCACGTTTTTATCAACAATCTCAGTTCAAAACAGCTTATATTCGACTAAGTTAGCATGGCACTTGAGGAGATAAACATACCCTTTCGTGATATTGTTATGTTTACTCGCCACCTTAAAATAGCTGGGACATAACCATGCACTGACTCGAGTTCTCCGCGCGTGGGCTATAAACTAGATAAAAAGAAGTTTGAAATTCCTTTCAAGATGCAGTCCAAAGGTGATCCAACAACAACAGAAAAATGCAGTTGTATTGTGTCTTTTCGAGTCAAATACCATTGAATGTGCCGAAAAAATACATTTCCGGAATTCTTGACCTTGAATTAGTGTTACTTTGCGAAAGGAGCTATATCACGAAATATTTTCAAAGCCTATGACATAATCATCGATTAAAAAAGAAAAAGGAAAGTTCACTATGGTAGACCAAAAAGATAGGACCAAATCGAAAATTTAGATTAACAGGAATGGCTGCAGATGGTCAAGATAAACACACTCCCTATATGCAGAATTTTTTTTGGCGCTTTCAAAATTAATAAACAAATTAAAGAAATCAATTGAGAAATTGCTTTCTCGATTCATTATCTTTAGTTTTATTGAATCCCTATTTGAAGGCGATATTGCTAAGTCAGTTAAGGGAATAGAAGGCTATAATCACGCACACAAAGAATCCCGGGCGCAATGAAATTCGTTCGAATCAATTACTGGTTGACGACTGTCGCTAATTACTGCTGCTCTGCTGTGAGATAAATTCCTTATCAGATGCCTGGCGTCTTCATTTCATTCTATCGAGTTAAGGAGCACGGAAACCCAAAGTGTAAAGTTAAACGATATGCCTACGTCACTATTCTAATGGTGGATTAAAAACCTCTTATCATGGCCTAAATTTAACTGTTGTGTTAATGGCATTAGATTTAGGCACGGCATGTTCAACTGAGAAGTCACAGCTGTGATAACTTCCATTTTCTCTCCGGATAAGTGGTGGAAACCCACTCAAATTTATGGTAAAACACTCCCAATAAACGCTTTTCTTTCAGAACGGCCGTGGAGATTCAAGACCACTTTTAACTGTCTTTCAGCGTGAAAATATTGGGAGGAGGGATATTTTCTGGTCCTTTCTTAATGGGATTAGAGGGAAAGTAAGCGAAATCAAAGATGTAATTTTAGAATTTGCGTGTATTGTAGTGCTAAATCTATCTTTTACATTTTTACATGCAAAACTTAGCGTCTCTCGTAGTCTGGTAACTCTTAGCCCCTTTCTTCCGGCCCTCTACGGTCAGCAGCTTCAGGAAGAAACTCGTGATCGTGTGGTAACACTACACTGCTTGATGCGGATAAGACACGATGGTTGAAATTTTCATTTTTCCTTTTATTCTAATTCTCGAGTACTTAAAGACCTTCTAGAATACGTATCCACAATTTTCTTGTTTCCGGTATTCAGTAACAATTTCTTCACCACAAAATTTGTTACTTTTAGTTCCATCTATTCAATTCAAGAAGTAAAGTTTCCAGAGGAGGATCTCGTTGTTTTCTTAGACACTTTCAGGGCAAATGATAAATTTAGCTAGTGTACAGAGTTTATATACAAGGATTAGTTCTCAACCTGGAGTATGCGCGCGCTCGTCTCGTATCAGTAGACGCTTACATCTCAAGAAGCCTGCTTGTACTCGGCATTCTCGTTTCACGGGCCCTTACTGGATCCGTGCGAGGCATGCAGCCAACCCCAGCCCAGTAATTTCCGCCACAGTTACCACAGTTTGCTTGATGTTGGCCATGACTTTCATGAATCGACTCGAAACTGCTAATGGGAATACACAAAAGTAACGTCGTTCATTTGATTAATGTGACTCGTATAACATAGTTTCTAATTAAAAGAAGAATCTGCATTATGGTTTTCTGTTTTCTTCCTTCTTTGTTTTGCCATGTTTAACCCATCTTCGATCGGAAGTTACCTTAGAAGGAAGGTCAAATAAGGAAGAAGTTATAATCAATTAAGTAGAAATAAGATTGGGTTAGGATGAGAACATTTTCAAGGGCGGTGATTTTAAGGTGTGCAAACGTCTGGTGCCGACCCACGTAAACCTAAAACAAAACAAACGGATCCTCACATCTCACTTAGCACCATCTGTCATGTTTATTTTAGGTCCATTAGACACAGGTACGGCGGTCTGCCGACTTCTGGAATTGTTTATTCAATGTGATGCTTCAAAGAGCTAACATTTTAAAAAAATGTTAACTCTTCTAAAAGATCAAAGCACCGACATATCCTCCATAACCGTTTGGACCGTCAGTTCTTAAAAGACTTTGTCGCCTCTTAAGAGTTTTACCGCTCTCATGAATTTTTTTAGGGGGTGGTGCTTTCAACTCGCAGAGGTCAGGTCAAACAAATTAAACTTGTTTCGCTTTTTCACTGAGACAGAAAAACAGCTAATGAAAATTGGTTTCACTTTCTTGATCTTTGAGGAATTTTGATTTTTGGGAGCAGGTTGCGAAAGCCCCCAGGCGTGGTGGGTCTGTTGGTGGGAATGAAGATAATGATGATGGGGAGACAAGGAAAGAGGCGGACAGCGAAATGCCAACGGAAATAGAGTTTGTGGGGAAACTTCCCTGTCGCACAGCTAAACTTCATTAATTTTTATTCAAAAATTTGATACTAAATCGGTTGAAGATTTTGAAAAAAAGATTGTGATAATTAAAAAATGAACACAATGAGTACTGTGAGAGATTGAAGGAAAAGCCAGAATCACACGTGCATCACGCAGAACATGCGCGCGTGCAGTCATATTCGACGTGGTAAATGCGTGCGCGGATGTGCGACAGGAGTGAATCACGGGAAGTTTTCATACCCTGGAGGCCAGATTTCTTTGTGCATGCTAACACAGAAATTTATTCGTCGCTTGGGCTGACGACGCTTACGTTGACAAAAGTGTCCTTTCCTTTTCCAGAACAGTAATCATCGGATCAAAAATGGCTCTTTAGAAAAGGCTGTAGAGGTGGCACTAGCCGCGTCTGATTCGAGAAAATGGCTTTTGTTGCCAAGGGAGGATTAATTTTAGCCTATCTTGTGTTCAACTCGTTTGCCTTGAAGCTGCAACGAAGAAATGAAGATGTTTATGGAAACACATGGGTGGTCTATGTCGAAAGGGAAAAGAGATTTGTCGACGAGTTGGCAGAGAAAAATGGTTTTGTAAACAGAGGAGAGATTTCAGGCTTTCCTGGACATTTCTTATTTGAACACAAAACACTCGGAAAGCGGCGAGTTCGCAGAGGTGCACCGCAACACACGAACAGTCTGTTACGTGAACCTTTTGTGAAATTTGCTCGCCAGCAGAAAGTTTTGAGAAGGACTAAACGAGGATATTTTTTAGACCCTTATTATAAAGATCAGTGGTATTTGAACAACTCAGGTAAGTACAACATTTGCATGTATAGATCCACGATGAATTTAAAATCTCCTCTCCCTGTAATGTAACGTGTCGAAAATGTGTCTGTGCTAGTGGTAAGCAAGAGCTAGCTTTAGTTATGGCTCGTTGAAGCGGAATTATGTAGATGATGGTTGGGGAAGTTGTTGTCCAATGGAAGCTTTTCTGCCTTGATTCTGTTCGGTGGATTTATGAGATGACTTATCTGTGTGTGAATTTCGAGTTTGGACAGAAATATTTTACATTTATGGTATCTCTATTTTGCATGACTGCCCAAGACATTTTGCCTACTGTAAAATTAAGTTGTCGATGACGCTAAGAGTTAGAATTCAGTTCAATCAGCCTATCGGGCAGGAAAAATTTGATTGAATTTGATCAAGTCAGTGGAATAATGCATGGTGTTTCCTTGTTTACAATTTTAAGTCATGAGTGTGTTTGATTCCCTATCTTCATGATCGAAAACACCTCAAGAAAGCTAGGCCATGAAAAATTCCTCGTGAGTATTCCTTAACTTCCTGTGTACCTAATACAGTTAAGAGTTTGAAACTAAACACACTTATTGGCCCTGTAAAACGGTCATGAACTATATTGTACTCTGACAGATTGAACGTACCAAATGATTCTCTAAACGAATTGGATCGATTCGAGCGATTTCTTTCTATCCCGTAAATGCGTTTTGCATGCGTTTTGCCTGTGGATTTAAATTTCAAACTTCAATCCCTTTATCTTATCATAGCTGCTCAGCTACGGCATGGACGTTGGATTTAGCTGGTATCTATTTTTGCAAGGGACTTCATTGACAGAACCTCTCGAAACACAAAGGGAATCGTTAGCATTCAATTATCGACCCATATTTGACATCTTCGATTTGTTTGTTAAATTTTCGTCAACTTTGCTGTTGTGCCGAAGACCTAGACGGGTAACGAAAGGACATTAATATGGCCGATTTGTTTAGGAATGTTTTGTTTAGCAAAATAAAGTATATTGCCTTATACTTGGTGAATATTTTCGACATTGACGAAAGCCTTTGTAATCGGGTGTTCGTCAATCATAGGTGTTCAGAAAGCAAAATCACAAGACTTTTGCTCTAATTGATATAAAGATCTCATTGTGGTTAACATCAGAAGCAGTTGCTAACTTGAAAAAAGCTCTTGCTCAGTTTGAAATTGGCTGGAAGAGAAAGAACTATGGCTGTGTTGAAAAGCCTCACAGCTTTGCAGGATAGGTTGGCCTTGTGGGGGCTCCCCGAATCCAAAAGTTCACATATGCAAATCAAGTATGCGGAATGTATTTCCTATCCAGCCTACCCCTAATTACACTGTTCATTAGATTAGTCACCCCCTGGCCTCAGAAGATATAGATCATTTCCCATTGATAAGACTTCAAAATAACATGTTCACTAATTTTTGTCTGGCTGGTATTTTTGACAGGCATTCTTTTCCAATGAGCAGATGGTTAAGAGCTCTTTTTGGAGATAACAGGACTCTGTGTGACAAATTTGTCATCTTACATCAGTGTTAAAGAAGCTTAAAATGTATACTTTGAATCTAAGAACTGCACTATGAACTGTTTGAATATTTAATCCTTTCCAGACTCTTTAGCCTCTGCTTAAATTGACTAAATTAAATTCACTAAAGTGTGACATGACTGCATTTCCCTCAGGAAGAAGTCAATTTTAGAGGATCCAGAAAAAATTGATGCATATGCCCTACAGCATTAAAAAAAGCTCATATTTCTATTTTTCCATCACAACATTTAGAGATACCAATAGGTAGGGGGCTTTATGACTGAAGAAAACAATCAGGAAAACCCTTTCAAGGTATTTTTGAGAAATTATCCTTGAAGTCAACATGCAAGGCAACTTCCCAGTTCTAACTCTGTTTGATGTGAATTACAGCAAGTACATGTACATTAATTAGTTGTAGAAAAAAGGAAATTTTTTAATTAAATAAGCAGGCATTGTCTAATTGCATTTCGCTGGATGTCGCATACGTGAATTTATGTATGTTTCATGTTTTGCATCTAAAATCGATGATGGTTTTTGAAATTTGGCACCAGTGTCCAATTACCAACTAAACTGACCAAAGATTGATACATATACTATGTGGCTTCTTAGCAGGAGGGATTTCTTGAACCTTTGGCCCTATTGTTAACCTCAGAGAGATACTAACTAAATGGGATTGTAAACTGGCCAAATTTAGGTTGAACACTCAGCTGTAATGTTCAGAAAAACAGACGGTCAAGTTTACTTAAATTCTGTACATCTGCCGTTGAAGTTGAATTTTTGTCTCTCCGATACTTGTGCAACGCAAGAACGACGATGCATGTATTGCCACATTGTTCTGTCAGCTTAATGAACTGTTCTAAGCTTAGCTTAATCTTTTGTATCAATACTTACAGCTTGTTTCTGATAGTTGAAATACTCCTTTTGTTGGGACATCCATTTTTTTTTCTCTGCTCTTTGTCAACTTTTGTGGCCTCTTGAATACTCCTTGATTTAAACATGCAAGTCCAAGATGTTTACAGTTCAAACTTTTTTAAAAAGCTTAAAATTTTTTCTGCTCGTGTTCAGCTTGAAAGTAGAGTGCACTTACTAATGACATTAATTTAGGCATGTGGCAAAAATGTGGCCTGCAGGAAAATATCATTCAATACAGTCACAAAATTTCTCTCTTTCGCAAATTTGTATGAAACCTTTTTTTGTTCATGGTCAAAGAAGTCATAGATCCAAATCCTGTGTTTTCTTGTACTAGGCAAGTCTTTTCTCCCAAGAATTTACCTTGTTTTGTTTATCCCTTACTATGATAAATAGTTCTTTTAATATAGCATATGCCACCCTGTCTATATAGGATGTAGTGTGATCTTTTAAGACCCTTTTCACTACAGCTTTGCATACCTGCATGTACACAGTACAGTGTGTGGTGCTCTTAAGAATGAACTGCCCAATACAGTTAGCAATGGGAGAGCATTAGTGCCTTTATTTGGAATACAATGTTGAGAAACATACATATCATTTATCTAATTAAATATATAGTACTGATGCTGCAAGCCCTGATAAACAATGCTGCTGCTTTGATCAGCCTTAATATCCTATTAATCTTTTGAAATGTAAACTTTTGCTAGTTAACAGCTTCTTTGTGGGTTATTTTTTTTTATTTACTACAGTGACTTTCTCACCTAATAAACAATTGCCTAATGTAATTGGGGCTTCTTGACTTTTGCTACCTTTTCAACTCATCCACTCTGATTTTCAGAATATGGGCTAGAAGGTATGCTACAAGTCAAATAGGATTATAAGATTAATATTCTACTATCATTCCACTTTGGTTTCAACAACATATTTTGCACAAATTCCTTATGATAAATTTTGCAGTAAGTAAAACTGTTTGAGCAAATTTGGTGTTGCTTAAAATATAAGTTTGAAGAAAGCTTGCATTTGTGTAATCAGAAACTACTGGAAATTTAACTTAATGGATGTTTTTGTTGTCAAACTTTTCTTTGGTATGAAAGTGAAATCACATGCATGAACTTTTTGTGAGTTCTACAAGTGTTGTTTCCATTAGATAAGCATTCTATGTAAGGGATACATTTGTTTATACATTTGTATACACATTTGTTTTCATTTATAAAAAGTAAACAAACTTGTGAAACAGTACTGAACTAGATAAAATTGAAAGAAAATGGGTAAATTTAGATCTTGGTCTTGAAATTCTTATTGGATTAATTGAGCATGGGGCAAGGTGAGGTCTCAATTTTTTTCATGTGCTTGTGTCAAGACTAATAACATCTTAATTTAGTGCAGAATTGTAAGTGACAGACAGGTACTTCAAAAGTGTGTTCAAACATCTTGAATAACATTGTCTTATCAATATTCCACAGGACAAACCGTAGGACCACGGGGATTTGACATCAATGTGGGACCAGTATGGCGAAGAAATATCACAGGTCACGGTGTGGTTGTTACAATTTTGGATGATGGTATTGAGTACACTCATCCTGATCTTAAAGACAATTATGAAGCAAAGGCTAGTTGGGACTTTAATAGTCATGATAGTGATCCAATGCCTCGTTATAGCAGAGACAACATCAATAAACATGGCACAAGGTACCTTTTCTTCCTTTTTTTGGTCAGAATTGGCTGGTGTCCCGACAGATCCTTGAATTGCTGGAGACACTGTCAAGTCACTCTGTTTTCTTTGAAAATATAATGTTCTTTTGTTTTTCTTAATTCATTCATTGTCTAGTTCTGATATTTCTGATAACTAAAATTGATATGTGTTCTTATGCTTTACCACATTTTGTACTGGTTCCTTTTGGAATATATTCATTTGTTTTTATTAGCTGGGGTTATTTATCTGTTTTGGTTTTACTAGAGTTTTTTCTCTATAGATATGGCATGTTAGACAGGGCAGCAGAACTTATCTATAAACAGTGTTATTTCCAATTAATTTTCAGATGTGCAGGGGAAGTAGCCGCTGGTGTAAATAACAACAAGTGTGGAGTAGGTGTGGCTTACAATTCACGCATTGGAGGTGTGAGAATGCTTGATGGGGATGTAACAGATGCCATCGAGGCCTGGTCACTAGGTCTAAATAAAGACTTCATTGATATCTACAGCAGCAGCTGGGGCCCAGATGATGATGGAAGAACTGTGGATGGCCCAGGTCCTATGGCCAAGAAAGCATTCAGAGAAGGTATTTTGTTGTAACAGTCATTAAAACATGAAGCGTGCAATACTAGAATGTGGGTGCACAAAGGGAAGCAAGGGGGTCATCATCTTGACCAAGCTGCAAATCACTTCCAAGCAACTGTCAACATCACTGATAAGCAGAGATGTGGGGTGAATATTTACTGAAAGGGTGGTAGGTACAAGAAGAAAGGGAAGGAAACAAATCCAGCAAAGTTGTCAGGCAAATTGATATGAAACATGTGGCGATGCGCTAGGTGAAACTGATGCATTGACTTGTAAATTTGCCAAAATTACTTTTAGCCTCAATTTAGTTTTAAGTTAGTAGTTTTGTTATGAAGTTAATTGAAACAGCTGACTAAGTCAGTTTTTAGCTGTATATGCACACAACTGACACTACATTTTGCTATAGGGATCAGAAAAGGACGTGGTGGTCTGGGAGCCATCTTTGTCTGGGCCACAGGTAATGGTGGACACTACAATGACTACTGCAACTGCGATGGCTACATTACAAGCATTTTCACTGTGTCTATTGGCGCTGTCAATGATCGTGGCAAGTCACCGTGGTATGCAGAACCATGTCCATCAACTCTTGCTGTAACCTACAGCAGTGGTGAAACTAGAGGGGCAGACAAGCAGATTGTTACAACTGATTTGCATCATCAGTGCACAAAAAGCCACACAGGCACATCAGCTGCTGCTCCTCTGGCTGCAGGTTTGTTTGTTTGTTACTTTTACTGATGTACCATGCTCCCCATTGTGCACTGATGTGTACAAGATCTCACTTAATATGTCAAGTTGAGAATAAGTAGTACATGAAGTAATCTCAGTCATGCATACAACATTCTTAACCAGCTGTGTTGTGCTAAGAATATGATAAATGTTTATGAAAAATTGCCTGATTTGTTTGGACCACCTTAATTTTTTTGTCATGACAAAAATTTTTTTGGGCTGAAAAAGTGTAATGGAGATTGAAAGACATCGTGTGAGCAATCCCCTTCTAAGATTTCAATAACAAATTAACTCCTTTTTGTAAGAGGTTGATCATTATTTCAATGTTACCTAGGGTGTACCTGTATTTCTTAGTTATTGGTAGAACTGTAATTTCCGGCCGTTTACCCACTGGTAATCTGTTTCCATAAACATGTGTCACTGCGGGAGGTGTGGGTTATGTGACAATTTTGAAATCTACTGGTAGTTGAATTAAAAAAAAATTCTCACCTTCCTGTATTTCCACCTCTCAAATGAATTTTATTGTATTAAGAGTGCCACGAAGCAGCACGAAAACATGATGCCTACTCAAGTTTATTTCACACACAATTAGTTGCGCGGTGAACAAATTTTATTGGCACGCATGTAAACAAACCTTGATGTTGACAGAAATAATCCAAGGGTATCCAGCACATCTAACAAATTTCAAGTTAACACTAGCTTGAGCCGAAGAGAATTTTCCCGTTTTAAGAAACTTGTTAAGCCCAGTAGAACTGGAGATATCAATTTTGTTGAGAAATCAACAATTCAGCATGGCATTGATTATGATCGCTCGCACAAAGTGTGGCCACGAATTCGCATTCTGTTGAGTAGGAAATGTTGTGAATTCTACAGCCATTTTGCACAAATTTTCTTTGCTTTCAAGGTGTAGGTAATCTGTTGACTTTTTTTTTGCCATATGCAATAATCAGCTGGTGCGGGTAATCAGCTGTGCGAGTAAATGGCCGTTAATTATAGTAACTAAGCTTGGATCTGAATGTCTGCACCTATTAGTAGACTTGGTTATTTTGTTCTGTTTGGCTAATATTCTAAACTCTATTAGTTTGACAGCTATTCTTTGGATTATAAATAATAATTTATCACCTGTATATGGTCATACTTTCATTTAATGGTCAGTCTGCTCAAGAAACCCTGACAACATCAAAGTGTTTCCAATATCAAATGTTTTATAAAGTACCTGTTTAAAGAAAAATTTTATCATCAAACAATATTATTCTATATTATTATTGTGGCCTTTGTAAGGCTGGTAGATGATAATTGGCATACCAACCTGGCAGCAACTGAGACATATTTGATTTCTTTATTGTTATTGATATCTACAGCTGCCACTGCAAAATAAGTAAATGAAGTGTTTGTCATACCAGATATTAAAATGCCATGAAATATTGATTTTCATGACACTTGTTTGAATACTATTGGTATCATAGTTTACAATATATTCAGATGGTTGTATTATGTTTGAGATCATTATTACTTTTGCTTCTACATTATAAGTTTTGCTTTTTGAACTTAAAGCCTTCATTATAGAGATGTTTGATCTTGTTAAAGTTCAAATAACGGATTTTTACAATTACAATCATCATTTTGCATCAGATTCACCTGTGTTTTATGCAAAACAAAAAATTATGGAATCATTCTGGAATTTGTTTGTCTAAAGTTTCTTTTGTGTTTCTACCAAAGTACCACAAAAGCCCATGGATAAGCCACACTTTTTTTCAAAAATTGTGACTAGAAATTGGGGGTGCAGCTAATTTGTGGAAACATTTGATAAAGGTGTTGTGAATGTCCATTGTGTCCGATCTAATGCCTGGTTACTAAGCTTCGAACGTTCTGCTCACATTCTTGTTGTAATGTAAAAGTCTATACAAAAATTGTGTTGAATAAAGAAATTCCTGTTGACAAAGACCAGAAAAAGACCAATCATATGTCCAAGTTGGTAGAAACTAGAAATGATGCTAATTATTTTAAAATGCTAAAATTGCGGGTAACACTTTGAAGTATTTTCTATTGCAATGTTAATGATGAGTTTTTGTTTGATGAACAGTGGATGAAGAAGACTTCTCAAGACTCAACTTTGGATTTCTTTTGATTTCTATCAAAAAACTTTTTTTTCAAATTTGAGCTCCTAAATTTGGGTTGCAGCTTATCTGCGGGCTTTTATGGCATCACTTTGTGGGATTGAAAAGTTGACTAGCTTGATTTAATTGTGATCATAATACAGATGTTTGTGAATCTTTTTGGAGTTTTTTGTTTTCTTTTTATTATTAGGCGGATTTTTTTTTCAAAAAGTGTTGCTTAATAAAGATTTCATTTATTTTAATCAGAATACATTTTTCTATGGTAGGTATATTTGCTTTGGTGTTAGAGGCAAATCCGAAATTAAGCTGGAGAGATTTGCAGCATCTTGTTGTTGAGACTTCCAAAGTAACTGATCGGCTGGACAAAGGCTGGCAGAAAAATGGTGCTAGATATCGTGTGAATCACAAGTATGGGTTTGGAGTGTTAGACACAGATGCTCTTGTGACAGCAGCCACCTCTCCTACCTGGAGACCTGCTCCTGAGCAACACATGTGCCGAGAACAGGATCACATGGATAACAAGAAGATCCCAGCCAAAGGGACTCTCACATCAACAATTCTAAGTTCTGGCTGCTCAAGAAAGATAAACTGTGTTATGAAACTAGAACATGTACGAGTGTACATAACACTGAGTCATAAATCAAGAGGCTCGTTAAGAATTGTTTTAACTTCACCTGCTGGTACTAAATCCGAGCTTTTAGCCCCAAGAGACAGAGATTATTCTAGTCATGGTTTTCAAAACTGGCCATTTATGACTGTGTTTAGTTGGGGTGAGAATCCTGCAGGCCTCTGGAAGTTAGAGGTTACTGATACTAAGGGTTTTGAGGGAGAGTTCAAAAAGTGGTCCATTAGACTTTATGGCACATGTGAAGATCATCTGAACATCACACCAAATGATTCTAAAATGTGCAGCAAAGTTTGTAGGAAAGGATGTGAGGAACCCTTCAACACTTTGTGTCCCAACTGTTCAATGCTGTGCCATTGTGATTTAGGAGAGTGCCTGCCCCTGTGTAATGCCGATGATGATGTCGATCAAGAACGAAAAGAATGCCATAAGAGTGCATTGGGCGGTGGACTCAGGATTGACGATGAAGATGATGAGCAGGATGTTACCAAGACTCCAACCATCAATATGCTGCATGATCAGGGAATATCAACGTTTATGAAGTTACTTATCATTTTTATTCTTGTAGCTGTTATTTTAACAGCTGTGCTCATCATGTGGCACTTCAAAGTCAGTCAGAAAGGTTGTTGGGCTATCCCAGATAAAATAACCAATCAGAACCGTGCCATCTCCCAAACAAATGTGGGATATTGGCCTGTCTCTGTTACACCTGAGGTGAACAGTCAGAACCTTAAAGGACTAGGTAACTTAAAGATGTAGGTTATTACACATTTCTTTTCTCAAGTTTCTGTATTATACTGTGTCCATGTGGGGTAAGTGTTACCCTACCATGGTCAGAATTCTTTATTCTTTTGAAAATCACAATCATTTTATTTGTTAATTCATTTTGATAAAGACGACAGTCTAGACTTGTTATTTGACAAATATTTTACTCTGGGTGTGAAAGTGCATAACCAGTTCATGGTAGGGTTTTGGTTCCAAATAACCACAAATTTATCTGACTAAAGGAAAACTGTTACCTCCTTTAGCACTACTAGAGAGCTTTCCTTGATCCTATCCATCTAGTATGGTATCCTTAGCACTTAAGTTTAATATTTTTTGTAGCACTTGCTGGCAAGAAATACACAAACTATACTGGCCATTATTTCTTTGATCAGTGTTTCAAACAAGAAAGAACTTTTGTACTTTTAATTGTAAAATGCTGTACATAGAGTACATTAGATTGATTTTTTATAATTGATTTGACAAAAACTGTTTTCTATTGTATAAACAAATTTGAAAACACTGTAGGTGAATGTCATGAAATAATGCCCAATACATTAGTACATTTTTTTTACTTTTAAATAAGCTTGTTTTGATTTTAAAACAAAAAGGCAGCTGCATCAGCTTCCTTTGGTCATGTTTCTCTTTCTTTAATTACATTTTTTCACAAATTTCAAGTATACATTAAGGTGGAATGAATACCACTACAAATTGTTCTTGAACTTTTCTGCTAAATGAACATATAAACATATTTGTGAAGAGTTTACCTCTCAAATAATGATACAGTATCAATAAAATTGCTTTCATTTTGAATACAATGGATTGCCTGATTAGTAGAATTAATTTTGTGCAGAGTACCACTTGTGCCAACTCTTTCAGATTATCAGTCTCCTGTGTACAGAATAAGTCCCCCTTGCTTCCTGCACTTCAAAGATTAACAGAAATTTGGATATATCCTCACCAGTGAAGGGAAAATTAATTACATTGATTTATGGCCTAAGTTTGCCAAGTGAGGCCCCTGTGTGGTTGGTTCCTCGGGATTTTCTCCTGTTTTGTCTTGTGAAACAATGGCGCAAACTAAAAGATGTTATTCCCATTCCAATTGTTTGAGTTTCTGGATTCTTCTCTTCTATGTTAGAATGTGGTTGTGAATTTTCCCCCATTTTTCATTGATTTGTATGTGGAGGGACTTAAGTGTGGAGAGGGACTGGGCCATTTAGTCAGGAATACACTGAGTGGGTAGGGTTGGCAAGTGAATCAAGATTATACATTACTAGATTTCAGTTCCTAGGGGCTTACTAAATTTCAGTTTCCATGGGGCTCAAAGGGGCAGAGAAAGAAGAGGCAAATAATCAAATGTCTGCGTATAATTTCATGAAACTACAGAATGAGAAAGATACATGTATTATTCAGCCACAAGAAGGTTTTGTGACCTTGACTGGCTTTTTTGGTGTGACTAATAAATTGCCCTGCCTCATAATTTATTAATGTAAATATTATGTGGCTGTCTGTGTGGTGTGCATGATAAAGTTATGACAGATATAGAAAGCTAGAATGTTTTTGATTTGAAATGAACTTGCATTCTATCAACTGATAATAACTATGCTTCTGGTTGCTTCATGGTAAAGAAACCAGAATAAGCTTGGCACAGATGGACCACTTGGCTCAAGTGTAGACTAAAGTACTCTTTGCAGTAAATAAAAGGTGATTATGCATAGCAATAGTTTTAAGACAGTTTTTGTCTAGGACAGTTGACCATTGGCTATCTGTTTTTTGTCTGCCTTGTCAATACTTGATTTGTCAAAAAATGGGTTGAATTGCCTGGGACTAGACAAAAGGAGTAGGGATGTCAGAGGCTTCACTCCTTGCAAGGGTCCAGAATTTCTTCCTTGTACCGTGCTTGTGGCAAGACAAAAACATCCCACTTTGTTTCTTAGACTCTAGAACAAATTTTCTGCAAGCCTTAGTCAGCAGTGTTATCTATCTGGTGGGTTTCATAGTTTTGGGGTATAAAATTTAAAATTTCATTCTCTTCCACTTCTTAAACTCCCTTGCAAGTGTGTGTGAGGGTGGCAAAAGGTTTATATTTGACAAGTGTTAAAGTCCAAAATTTGTATGTGATGCATGGATTTTTACAGAAGGGTAAAGTAAGATGAGATTTGAAGTTTTCCCTTTTAAATTTGTGATGCCTAAAGTACTGTTTGCACTACATGATGCATGAAAGTTTTCTAAAATTTGTACATGAGTAGTGAATCAGGACTCACTCCCTTTTCAAGTTAGTTCTATAGGAAGAGAAGTTGAACCAAACCCCAACACATTCCTTGATTGTTTCCCATCTGTTCAATGACATAACTGGAGTCTACTTTTGATGAGTTGCACCTGTGGATAGGATGGTATGTTTATTTCTTGGTGCATTCTCCAATTCAGAGCAACAAGAACTATGGCTATGAAGTAACTATAAATTATTAAAATTAGATAACTGCTGTCATACTAGAAAAAAATATTAAGGCACTGGTAACCACAGTTAAAAAATAGCTGACTAGTTTAATTGATTCTTTAGATGTAGATCAAAAAGACCCTTTTGTGTTTATGAGTGATATTTCTTTATTCAGTGGATTAAAAGCAGCCCCTCCTTTTTGGCAAAGTATATTTGTGAGTCAGAAAAAAATAGTGGAGAAAAAGTTTTCATGTTCGTACACAGTGCAGAACTTTAGGAGTGAGGCCTATTTTCTGTGCACCTCAGTCCCAGAGTTTTGCACAGCAAGCTAGCATCAATTTCTGCTTTCAATGAATTTTTCTTTTACTCACATGACAGACTTTGCAATGTAGCTGGGAATGCTCTTGGTCAAATTTTGTATTGATTTGTGAATATGTTTCACCCTTATATTGGCTTTACCCACCTGAGCTTTGTTGGGTAGGAGAAGTCTTTCCAAAGAAACTGTGTCCATCAGGAGATGCACTAAAGCAGAACATAATTTACTTGAAATGTAAGGCTTTGAAATTTGGATCTTTATTTCTCCAAAATGCTGCATAAAACTAAAAAAGGGAACAGGGAAATGTGCTTCAAGCCTTGGGCAAGTAACTGAGTAAAAAATGTTTCTTGAGAATATTACAATCAAACAATCTCTTACAGCCCCTCAGTTAAACTTGGTAAAATACACAGTTAAAAGATGCCACAAGTTAACATCACGAGTTTCAAGTACATTTTAAGTTCACAATATCCAGGATCCCGATCATTAGGTCATTTGAATCTGCTTGAATATGTTGAATGAAATAAAATGGTTAAAGAGGTGCAGACTACACAACGTTTTAGAAGACTCAGGGTATCTACGAACTTTCTCTGCAAGGTGGCAACCCTACCATGCCTATCAAATAGTCAAGACACAAAGAAAATCTTAATAGACCATGGCATCTACTTTAATTTCAAAGTGTTATAATACATGTTTCTTTCGTGAGTTCGCTGCAATGTTTGAAACAATCATAACTTTAAAAGACTCTGCTGTATTGATTACAAAACTAATCTTCGAATTGAAAAACTCCGTATAAAGTTTGAAATTAGCTTGCTGAACCCTGCTTAATCTGTACATGCTGCAACTCTAGAAATTCTTGAGGAATTCTTCTGCACAAATACGCGCCCTGGCGTTAACAGCTAACTTCATTTCACTGATCTCCTTGTCTATCTCCTCCATAAACTGAATTACAAAATCAACAAGCTTGTGCTTAAACATTTGCTCCGTATGAAAGTTGGTGATGAGGAAGCTTATGTCGTATCCCTCAACTGGTTTCCTTCGAAGGATAAAGAAGTTTTCGGCCCGCATCATCATAAAACGCATGAACTTCTTGCACAGGATCTTTTCAATCTCGTCAGCTTGTTTTACGGCAATGCTGATTCTCAGAGAGTTAATGGAACCTTCAATGAGCACCTTTTCTTTTTCATTTCGGCTGATGACCACTGGAGTTAGAAGCAATTCCTTGCTGCTTCGGACTTCCACTTCGGGTTTGTTATGCCTTTCCACCACCTGGGAATCGAAATTTTCCAAACACATGGACGCAGTGAGAGTCGCACGGACGGCATTCAGGTAAGGACGTAGGGTAGCAGCCATTTTTTTCACAAAAAGAAGACAAAATTTGTGGAAGTTCCCAAAGAAATTGTCGGATAGCGGAAACTAGCTACCCTCCCTCCTCCAAGTGCGCATACTCCAAAAGAATACATGCCGCTGGTCGTTTTTTGCAGTAGCACAAAACAAAACAGGAAATCGAACGGAACTGTGGGATATCATCGTGTTCAGCGGCCATTTTCGTTTTGTATTTATCTGCCCAACACTTTTACTGATAGCTGAGCCCTTTTTTATGGTAGTAACGAGAACGATCCTATTATGATGACGTTTAGCGTTTCTTTCTCTAAGACATGGAAAATATGACAGTGTTATTATTGTAAATGTGGAGACCAGAGGATAAATTTATTAGGTGTGTTTTGGAGGGTGGTGTGACAAAAAAATGAGTACATGTGTAGACTCTTTGTCTCTAGCTCTCGGGCAAATTAGCTTTGCAGTCAACGATTTAACAAAAAAGAATTACAAAGCGACCCTGAAGGAAATACATGAGGTGAGCGTCAATGCAATTTTTCGCTATAACACTACACAAACACCAGTGTTTTATGCTTTTATGTCAGTCAGTATTATTTCCCAAATACACCCAGGCAGTGCACCCAAAAAAGACTATGGTAAAGTCTTAGTTTGAAATCACTAATTCCTTACGGGATGATGTGTTTTATCCCCTTAAGTTGAAAAAAAATCAATTATACAACAAATTTCAATTTGTGGATGAGGTATGTAAAGTACCATTGAATACTTTTGGTCAAGAGTTTGTACAAAATTAGCTTTCACTCAAATGTCCAAGTTGGTTACATCCACAAGCTTTGTTTAGTAAGTATTCTCAGTATTTAGGGTAAGAATTTTTTTATTACCTTCACGGGCGTGACCGCTATAATTTTAAAACTTTTATTTAGACACAAGAACACTGCTGAGCTAGGAAAGCTAGTTACAAAAGTGTACATGTATAACTTAATTAGATAGATAGATATATAATATAATTACAAGTGCATTACATTAAAAAAGTAGTAATTGATGTGTAGAGGTGCATTTACAATTTACATCGGCTAATTTTTAATTTTTTTGTTTACTTCTGAACTTGGAATACCATTAACATCCCTACTACCAATTACCTTTGCTTAATAGTATGAAGACTCAGTTAACTCATAAATTAGTATACTCAATTGATTTGGAAAACTTAAACAGTATTCTGAGCATATCAGTCAAGAATCTTATTTCTAATTATTTGTTTTCTCTGGGTTATCTTTGTTCATATCTAAACATTGTCTTCTGTGTCTTAAGTATGAAGAATATCTGTGATATGGCTACACATCCACAAGCTTTGTTTTGTCAGTATTTTCAACAGTTAGGTTATCCATGACTTGATTTCATGTTCAGCTGTTTAGGCTCAGCTGTTTCTACACAACAGAAATGAAAAGAGTGTTATGAACTGTGAAGTGACAAGTGTTATTCTCTCATTTTTGTGAAATAGTGTTTTTCCTTGGTTTTAAATTAACTTGTAATCTTTTAAGTGGCACAACTACATGATATCCTTTGATGTAAATAGTCTTGCAGAATACAAGATTTAAGTCAGCCATAGAGAATTTTCCCTGTATTTACTATATATTTCCCCTGTATATACTATCTTTTTCATGCCTTATTTTCACCACTGCTTAATTAGTGTTCATTACTGCAAAGACTGCTCTCATACTCAAGTTTGATACTGCTGCATTACCATATAGCTGTTTAAGTTGATGTTTGCCTTAAATTCATTTTTCAGCTTATTGAAAAACATGGGTATGAGGCAGAGCGTCACTTATTCCGTTGCTTATTCTCCTTTATTGACTTTGCTGGTGATGGTAAGAACAATGGCAAGGACTTCCTTCAGGTGACTGTGGCTTCAATTTTTTTTCACAAGGGAGGGGAAGTCAGAGAATTCCCTGGGTATAGGGCCCCTAGCTCAACTTTTTACTAAGTTGCTGTTTGGCAACCTCACATCCTGACAGACATGGTCATCATAAAGTATCCTTTATTCACAATTGTGTAAGAAAAGAAAACGATAACCACCAAATGATGAAAACATAACAGCTTGTTACATGACTGTAGAAGACAGTTTGTAAAATTGGCAACTTTTGTTACCCTAACTGTGAGGCTATTTAATGTTACTTGTCACTGTTTAATGTTACATGCACAAAGATAACTCTGATAAAGATTTCTAGAGCAGTCCACCAAATAATTTTTGTTTTGACAATTTTGTGTTAAAAAGGATTAAAAAAAATTAAGGTTGAGATCCCATACCTTCTCATTTGGTCAATTTGTGGCGACCATGGTGGATTGCACTGTAAATTTTCCTTATTGTATGTACTATATTATCTTGGTCATAAGATGCACTCGTTTATAAGACGCACCCCAAACTCAGCAACTTAGTCAAGCCAAGTTCCCAAACTGAAAATTATGTGAAAATACTCGGTTATAAGATGCACCAAAAGTTTGAGAGTTAACAAAAGGTGTGATGGATCTGGAAAAGTTTCATGGTTGCTCTGGCAGTGAAACCAAAATAATGGTGAAAAACTCCCACCAAAAATCACATTCAAAGGTGTTTGAGAGCTGAATATCAACACACCACCAAGGATGCCGCCAACCGCCTCCGGGTTAGCTCAATGGATAGAGCGCTGGACTATTGTGCGGGATGTCGAGAGTTCGAGCCCCGGCCGGACCAACACTCGGGGTCTTAAAATAATTGAGAAGAATTTACTGCCTTTCTATAACATCAAGAAATGGTTAGATATTCTAGTCTTCTTGGATAGGGACGAATAAATGGAGGTCCTGTTTCCTGCGGGGTTGGGGTAGGAGACATTAATTTCCCACACACGAGATTACTGCGTGATGGATGTCCTCCCCTGGGTGGGATGGGTGCATTTACAGAGGGCCATGTGTTAGAAAACTCTTTACTGGGTTAATCATGTATTTACCCTCTTGAAATAAAGAACATTGTATTGTATTGTATTGTATGCCAGTTTCAGTGCATAAAAAAGGCTGGATGGACAAAGAAGGCAGGTTTTATATCCACATTGTTTATTCAGAGAAGGAACTTTCCGAGCAAGCGACAACATGATTTTAGGAATTTTAAATGAGTTTTTTTGTCATGGATATCATGTTGGCAAGCACATGTTGTTAAGAATGTATGCAAATTTCAGTTTGTTTGCTCTTCTGTTTTTCTCTTTGTAACTCTAAGTTCTGCTAAACTAGGATCTTGAGATTTAGTTGTGCAAAAATACTTGGCTATAAGATGCACCCCAATTTCAGCTCTAACTTTCAACCCAATGACAGAATTTTCTTGAAAAAACCGTGTGCCTGATAACCAAGAAAATACGGTAGTCTACGTGTTGGTTTGTTAAGTTTTGGATCAAAAGAATAAATCATCCACTAGATATAATTATTGTGTGTGCCTCTACAAAGTTGCAAGGATATCATGATTAAGGCCTTTGTCAGATATAACAAAGTGATTTGAAAATATAGCTGAAAAGTGATTTGAAAAGTGATTTGAAAATATAGGTGCAGTTGACAATTTGCTGTTAGCATTGCTTGTTGTTATGAATTCCCATTCTGATTGTCAATGCTGTTATTTATCAATTTATATGCATTGTGTTTATATTCAATGTTGATATACAGCAATAGTAGTTTGCTATGACTTTCAGATAGACAAACTGATATTCAGAGAACAGTTTGAAAGACAGACAATAGGTCTATTTCTTTTTTTGAAACAATATGAAAGCTTTTGAACAGTTATTATTGTCGGTTATTATTACTTCCTTTTTTGGTAGGACATTTAACCTCTACAGTTTGTTTATTTGACAAGGAGACTGGATAAAAACATTCATTTAATGGCTTGTGACCTCATGCAATATTCATTGTCTGGATTACTAAAGAACTTCCTGTTTCTACATTAAGTGCCAGTTCCTGATTCAAGAATGCCAGCTGCTTGTTTCCAAACCCAACTTTTCTTCCATTTTGTGTTACGCAATTGAGACACCAGAACATAAGCAAAGGACACTGAGACCTTCTCAACAATTACTGCCAAATATTAGCAGAGTATTGAAGCTCAACAAAGTGCAAGAGGTAAGACTCAAGCTAGGTATTTTAAGATTAACCATCAGATTTGAAGGATGCTAAGATTATACATGTATAGAATTAGTTTGCTGTGATTGTATCAAATAGTTTCCACAGCTGGGGTACCAATAAGAATCTGAGACCTTGTGAAGATATGGACCCTTGCATGTAGCTGTAGTTTTGTTTTGTTTGTGAGTCAGGCATTATGCTATTTTTATATGTAAAATTTCTCTTTTTGTGTGTTTGTGTAATCAAAAGATTGAATCAAACTGAAAACTTCTTATTATAGGAGCAGTTGAAGTGATTATTTGATATCTTAACTAGATTAGGAATGTGGAGAGTGTTTATATAGTGTTAAACATTCAGACAAATTTTCAAATGTATGACTCCATTGAAAAAGAATCTGAATAAATAGTCACTGGACCCTTTCTTCAAGTTTGTTTTCAGAATGTTACCATAAGTTGTGTGTGCTATTTTTCTTTTGCCCCTCCTGTTTTCCATCTGCTTGGATTATACCAGTGATGAATGTTGGGAAGAGACTTCCCTCAAGGTTGATATACCTTCTCTTCAAAGTCACTTTTGCTGGTTAAAATGGAATACTGAATAAGAAGTGCTTGCCGTGTTTATAATTGTTCTGGCCCTTGCTTCCTGCTGCACAGTTCATGTTTCCTAATGTTGCAAATCATTTGGCTGTGCTGCAGATTGTTTTTGATGTGCAAATAATTATAAATGCTAGATAAAAGCAAAAACTCTAGAAAACCAAACACCTACAGCCAGCTTGCATACCCTGAATTTTCATATCATTCTGTACCTGTTTGGTTTGTTTAAATGAAACTAGAAAGTACATGTTAGGCAAAATGGCCATACAGTGTAAAACTGTAGCTACAATACATGTACAGACTTAAACAAGATTACAGGGTGCATAATATTCACACAGCCACTTTGATTGATGTTTTAAGGAGAAAAATTCCTTAACTGAACTGCAGTTTGCTATAGG